ACAATAATTTTATGACTAACATGATTTGATTGCAGTTAACCTTCTTGGTCAGCCTGCTTGAATAAGGGATCTCAAAGGATACATCCATTAGCACAAATTCACTCAAATTTATAGCTCGTTTGAGCTTTTTTGTGTGAAAACACAAGTCTGAGAATTCTAATTCTGCTCTAATTGGGACCAAAGCAACCACGGATTAAACATGGATTTAAATTTTTTTGTCCCACATTAAATGCTCGGAGATTTCTTTTAACCTTGGCTTATGTCTTGTTTGAATAAAACAAGTGGTATATATGGTGGAAAAAATAGCAATATTTTACACTTTAGTAGCTAAATAAGAATTTCTTTCAGATTTTCCCCCGCTTAAGTTTAGGTAGCAGTCAAATAGTCCTTTCCAAGGAGTTGGTTGTAAAGAAATGTTTCACTGTCTCTGTTACTGGATGTGCCTGGGTGGTGACATATCACTTCATTCTGATACCTTACTGTTGGCATGTTATTGCAAGTTTTCAGTGAAAAATCAATTCCTATTAAGCTTTTTATTCACACCTTGCTGCATCATATTAGCATGCAAGTGGCAAGTTGTTTTTCACTTTTGTCTTCCTGTTTTGTGTGATTTTTCTTGGTTTCATTTTTCAGACACTATTCAGAGATTCTCATATCATATATTTAAAATTTTGTGGCTAAGTCTAAATTTTGTGGCTAAGTCTTATTTTCTTTAGCATTTCTGCATGTATGCATTGGTTTAGATATATGAATGGTTACTGGAAATTTTGACCACTGGAAATAATGCTGACTGTGTTTGGCTCAAAGTAATATTATTATAAATTTGTACAACTTTTTTGTGCCAACATAGTAGTAATTTGTAGACCCCAGCATTAGTGTGCACCATATATAGTACAGTCATTGTTCATAAACAGATATGCCAGCCTGCTCTCTTGTCAATCATTTAGTATCAAACCGATTGAATCCATTACCATTTTTTCTCATCATTTAAAACATTCATCCCGAAAATTTACATGTTCTTTTGCTTCAGATGAAGTATTTAACGTGTCAAGTATAAGTCATGATAAGAATTAGTTCAAATGTTTTTATACATACTGGGAAAGGGGACATTAAATTGATAGCCTGGCTTATGAAGGCTTACGAAAGCAAAGCATTAAGTAGTAAAGGGATTAGACAATGACTCATCTCTGGAGCTGTATACATAGTGCATTTACTGTCATTGATGCTAGAATTTTATTGTGAGATAATGAATATTCTTGTGTTCCAACGATAATTGTGGACATGATTAAGAAATACCTGTCATTATGAGAAGTATTGTTCCGTTGCACCACTAGGTGCAGACGGGTTTTTCAACTGTGACCGTGTTTCACCACCAGGTGGTGCCACCAATTTGAGTAAATTCCTAATTTTTTCCGCAAATGAAATTGCAGTAAATTAATTAATTATAGAAAAAAAGGAAAGCATGCTGGATTTTCAAAACACGTAAAGTGACCACAGCTAATTGCCCATCAAAATGAAAGGCTTGGGAAACTGTTTTAATTTTACTGCTAGCTCTACACATGTTCACAAACTTTTAAGTATGTATACACTGCATCTCCTTCTGTATTGATTATCTCTTCGAGCTTTCAAGGTGCATTATAGTATTGAACAGATTAGTTGAGTCATGCATAACAATTTGTTACAAAAGCCGTATAATCATGTAAATGTGGAAATGCTTCAGTAATCGTGGTTGACATTTTTCTCTTGTTTGTGCATACAGCATATTTGATATAGGTTAAAGGTAGCTGTGACCTAGTTAAACATAAGGCCTGTGCGACCTTGTTATTTATGGATCCTTAACTAGGTTAGTTATCAAATTTTCCATTCCTCTCTCTCCCCCAGGGCTGAGGTGGTTGTACTGGTTGAGGATGTTGATGAGTTTGCCCCAGAATGGGACGCCCTGCAGTACTCCGAAGAGGTCCAGGAAGGTATCATGTACGAAAAGGTTCTCCAGGTCAAGGCCACGGACAAGGACGCCTCGGAAGTATACAAGAATGTCTGCGGCTACCTTATAGTGACCCCTGATGTGCCCTTTGACATTAACAGAGATGGTAAGTTTTTTGGGGAAAAAGATGGTTCTGGAGTATAATGGTGTAGCATTTTGAAATGTTATCCCAGAAAGGTCTGAGTTGGGCCTGTAAATGACCTTGACATGACCTCAGCAAGTGCCAAGGTCAAATTTTGACCTTCCTGACCTTAACAGTGATTGGACAAATGACATTGGCTGTTTAGAGGCTACTTCACAACAGGTATGAATAACTTGTTTCTTTAATATACCAAAACTAATGATAATAACAAAAATGATACGCAAGGTTAAAGAGTAAGGTGAATTTAAAGTTTCTTTAGAGAACTGACGTTCTGTTTGATATAGAGAGATTCTGAACTAGTCCAAAACTGATCAGTAAGAGATTTAGTTCACTTAGGTTTACGTTTGAGAGCTAAAATGGTGTCAGGAGTTCTGAAGCTTCCCTAGTCGATCCGAGCTTCTTCTCCATGGTTAGGTTGATTGATCAGGATGACATTATGGCAGTATTGATCTGTTATCTAGAAGTCCATCCTTGTTCAATGTCAAGATCTCACTGCAGCTTGTTATATGATATGCTTACCTTGATGTGTGGATAGTTGCGCTCTTCAAATGATTTTCCGAGTTGTGCACTGACTAGCTGAGCCAAATCACTTATTTTTTTATTTTTTGTCTGGTATTTTTATTGTCTTCATACTTGGATAGTGTTTTTTTTTTTTTCATTAATTCTGTCTTGTATGTTTGTTGCCAGGAATATTGATCTCCAGGATCTTGGTGAAAGTCACCTGTGGTTTTTGTCGATCAAACATTTTTTTTTTCATGCAGGAAAAATATATGTATTTAAGAGGCAATTAAGTTGATGAAAATTGGCAGTTTTGATCTGGCTTTTCAACTGATCTTGTGTATGGTTTGGTCTGTTCCGTGGACAATATCAGTGAACAAGTAGAAGAAAGGGGACGGGGGGGGGGGGGGGGGATAGAAAAAAAAAGC